GTGGAGGGAAAAAAAAAGAAGCTTGGTGTGACAAATCATCCGTGCATCTAATCTTGAAAATAATCTAAGCAAGATATTAAGGCCGTCTATCACAATGCTGATCTACCTCAAGAGCCTAATTAAGGCACTTAGTTCCTGAACCAGTTCATCCTACGATTACACTTATTTTTCGGCATTTAAACCAACCCATTAACTAGTAAACGGTTTGAGAGTCATCATGTCAAAGCCTAAACCCATTTTAATCTACAATTAAGCCAAAGACCAACGCACCAACTATGAATCATGAAACATATGCTTATCAAAACACACTCAGACCACAATATGAGCACATACATTGCTACAAAACACAATAGGGTTACAGTGACCGTACCATGAATAGTTTGAGTAGCCAGGAAAGGAGCCACCAGCATCCGAATCTTTACTCGTCCCTCTTTTCCCGGTATCAGAATCTGGATAAGCATTAGACATACTCTGACCTCTAAAATAAGAGCCGAGAGCCGCTAAACCAGCACCAACACCTGCCTCACCAATCCCACCCATCTGATTCGACTGTAACAATTCATGACTCAACGCACCAGAACCCAACCCGCCATGGCTCAGAGCACCCGCCAACATCGGATACATGTAAGCTCCACCTGCTGCAGCGAGAGCTGGATTCCCCAACATTCCAGTACCATAAACCGGATGGTATTGGTTCCCTAGCATAAACGGCGATGCAGCCATTCCACCACCGGTAAACACATGTTGCCCTTGCGCCTGCCGTTGCAGTGACTGACCCTGATTAGCCATCGAACCCAAATTCATCTTCACCGGACCCGCCTGGTCCTGCCCCTTAACAGACGACGCAGGCCCCATTGAAGCAAGCTGACATGTAGCTGTTCGATTAAGGATCCTCTTCTTCGGCTCTTTAAGAGCTTCCCTAGCTCCTTTCCTAGTCTTGAACATAACAAAACCGAAACCTTTGGCTTTACCAGTCACCTTGTCTATAACGACGGTGCACTCTTCGATCTCGCCGTAGCTTTCAAAGAGACCGACAAGAGTCTCCCGCGTGGTCTCCCATGGAAGTCCATAAACGAAGATTTTCCGGTGGGTGACGTCACGGTCTGCGGCTTCTACGACTGCGGAATAGATCGAGGATCCGATCTGCGCGGCGGAACAAACGAGGTCGACGAGCTGGTCCTTGGAATAGGGTCGTAGAAGCTCTCGGAGCTCTTCAGGGTCGAATTCCTTCTCCGATTCCGAATCGCTAGAATCAGAGCTGGAGCTTGAATATGGGGTCGAGGATTCAGGTTGTCGTTGATGATGATGATGAGTGGAATTATCAATCTTTTGCTTCTTATCGATGTTCTTGGATCTGACGCGTTTACGCTTCTTAGATTTGTCCAGGGTTTTCGCCATTGCAGAAGAGGAAAAACGAGTCCAAGTTTTGGGGA